TCCCCTGCTCTCCCCCCCTGCGCCAGGTCTCCACCCCCGCCCGCGACCTGCTGAAGCAGATGCTGGACCGCAACCCGGCGCGGCGCGTGCGCGCGGGCGAGGCGCTGCGCCACCCCTGGCTGCAGGACGCCGAGTCGACGTCCACCCTGCCGCTGCGCTCCTCGGTGGTGCAGCGCCTGCAGCGCTTTGCCACCTACGGCCACCTCAAGCAGCTGGTGCTGCGCATCATCGCAGACGACATGGCCAACCACCCCACCACGCAGAAGGAGAGCCAGGTGGGGACCAGGAGAGTGCGGGGGGCGGGCAGGCAGGCGTGACCTGTGGCGGTGGCGGTCCTCTCCTCTGGGGGTGGGCGCGCCCGGCGGCGGCATGCGCCGGGGCAGCCGCTGCGTAGGGGCGCCAGCTGCGTGCTGAGGCGTGCCTGCCATGCGCTGCGCATGCCCCGCCGGCTCTCCGCCGCCTGCCCTTTGCTCGCCGCCCCGCTGCCCCGTGCGCTAACCGCCCCTGTGCCCCCGCTGCCCCCTGCCCCCCTCCCAGGAGCTGATTGAGGGGCTGACCGCGCTGTTTGGCGAGCTGGACGTAAACGCCAGCGGCAGCGTGTCCATGGATGAGCTGGTGTCGGGGCTGGACCGCCTGGGGTACGACATACGCGTGGACGGTGAGCGGGTGGTGGTGGTGGGGGTATTCATCGTGGTGGTGGTGGTGGCGGCGGCTGTGTGTGTGCCTGTGTGGGGCTGTCTGTCTGTCTGTTACACCCATAAGGAGCAAGTGAATGCTGCGGGCTGTACGGCTGGGGCACCCTGTGGCTGTGGCTGTGAATGCGCGCCGCGCTGTGCCTGTGCCTCGCCGCGCCTCCCTGCCCTGCCCTGCCCTGCCCTGCCCTGCCCTTTTCCCTCCCGCACCGCTCCTCCTTGCCCCACCCACCTCACCCACCACACCCCACACCCACAGAGATGGAGCACCTGATGCAGCGCGTGGACGTCAACCACGACGGCGAGATCCAGCTGACGGAGTTTGTGGCGGGGCTGGTGGACTGGAAGGCGCTGCAGAACGACACGCAGTGGGGCTGCTGGGTGCAGATGGCCTTTGACCGCCTCGACCAGAACGGTGACGGCTGGCTGTCGCTGGAGGAGCTGATGCAGCAGCTTCCCGACGACGGCTCCAGCGACGCGGAGCGCATGCGGAGGCGCGC